GTTGTTGTTAAGTGCCGTCGAGTCAATTCTGATCCATAGTGACCCTGTATAGGGTTTCCAAGGAGCAGCTGGTGAGCTTGAACCACCGACCTTGCAGTTCAAACGACTTTGCATTCTGACGCATTAGACCACACCACCACACCAGGACTCCAGGGTTCAGGCTAGGCATGTGGTAATAAAGCATTTCCAGTTAAGCAAAATTATCTTTTTCCTACACAAATATCATGAAACCTTTTCCAATAACATTTAGCCAGTATCCAATAGCTATTTTTTGAAAATCTGTCATAAAAACATGTGATATTCACTATTAGGTAGGATATAAAGATAAATAAAATCATTTTGTCTTCTATGAGCTTACAGTTAGTAGAAAAATAAGGTGTTTGTAAATAATGTCACATAAGCTAAGTTATCTTGTGTTGAAAGGTTTTAAAAAGTTAAAAAAAAAGGAGACCTGGGCTGTAGTCCAAAGCACTGACTGCAAGGTCAGCGGTACACACTCACCAGCCGCTCCTCAGAAACCGGATGTTGTTGTTGTTACCTGCCCTAGACGCGTAGCGACCTTGCATAAGGTTTCCCAAGGAGCAGTTGGTGGGTTTGAAGCGCTGGCCTTGTGGTTCGCAGTCCAGTGATGATCTTACAGTGCCGCACCAGGAGTCCCCTACAGGGGTGCTGGGAGTCGGAACTGACAACAACAACAAATAAGAATGTAGGGTTTTGTGGGTTTTTTGCATTTTGTGCTTTCATTGTTTGTGTTAATGTTATATTCGGTGCTCATTCATAGAGCTCCATGGACATCGCTGCTTCAGGTTTACGTGGATGTCTTCCACCTCACCTGTTGGCTTTGTGTTCCCAGGATATATGTGTATGTGTGCTGGAGTGTGCATATCGTATAAGTACGTGCATTTCTTTATAGCTGCTTCAGTATCTAAGTCAATGTTGCAGCAATTGGTAGTGTAGTGTTTACAAGTTGGGCTGCTAATCTCAAGGTAAACAGTTCAAAAATCCTAGCAGTTCCGTGGGAGAAAGATGACACTTTCTGCTCCCGTAAAGATGAACAGCAGGGTTGTTATGAGTGGGAACCGACTCCACGGCACATAACAAAAACCCTCCACCAGTACAATTTAGGTCATTAATTCTTTATTTAGTTTAATTTCAAATGATGTGTTTAAACTTCGTTAAAATACAGAATAATGCTGAGAATGAAGTGATTTGTATAAAAGAGTATAGATTAATGAAAGTGTTTTTGTTTGAATATGGATTATCCTTAGAAGGCTTGTTTTTCTTCCATTACAACTTAACCAGGCTATGTCACCTGAGCCCCACTGTTCCTAGCTACTCGGAATGTAATCTGCTTTTGAGACTGTGGCTTTCAAAAGAGAAGAGAGAACCTTGGTTTGTGGTAACATTTGAGTGTGGAACCCTTATTCCAGATTGCCCAAGTAGCAGTGAAGTAGATGGTTACAAAGCCTATTTCAGTTCTTTTCCAGAGCAGGGTCTCCAGTGTAGGTAATATATGCAGCAGCTCAAGTACCGTCCCATGTAAATGATGAGCTGATATTGATGAAAGCAGGGGATTGAGGTCTCAGGGGCGCCGATGACGGATTGAACAGAAGCGGCCCGCTCTGCACGTAACTCAAACCTGTCGTCCTCACCACTCAAAGCCGTAATGG